TCCGTGCTTGCTATGTGCAAACTGTAGTTTTGGTAACATTTAGTTATTCTGGCAGATGTTTTTTTTTTTTTTTCCATTTATTTGAATCTTTAATTTTAATAATAAATAATGTACCGTAGCTCTAGAATTCCTCGCGGTCTGCCCATCTCAACTCCAGAACCCCCCTTTGCTCCTATAATGCCTCTATGTGATGTCATCATTTATGTTTGCATCAAGCTGCAAAAGCAAAGGTTTCTGGGAGATGTAGTTCAGCCGTTGGCTTATTTTAAACAAAAAACTTGCCCATAAAGCTCAGCTGTGCAGAGATTTGTATGATAAAGTCTGCATATCTATGAAAAGTAACTTCAAAATGTACATATTTTTTATGTATTTTTCACTTATTGTAAATATTTAATATAATGCATTGAAAAAGATTGCGAGCCCATAGTGTCCCTTTAAGACTTTCTGTTTGAGGAGAAGGATCATTTCTGGATTAATTACAATTGGGGTGGAATAGTCTGTAAATTTTATAATTGCGTAGGCTCGGTCTGTAACCCTTTTAAAATGTATTTATACTTACACTCATTTTCTTTTCCTGGATATTACCCATAACAGAATTTACATACAAGTAACTTCTCCCACTTGGCTGAGATATCAGCACATTCCCCATCGCCTCTTGGGAGCTCAATCATATGATAGAAATAGGTAGGGGGGTGTGGCGAAACCAACCTCGCCACTGTGAACTGGAGAAGCCTGGTTGCTCGCCTGCTCCCTTTGGACTATGGCCCTGCAGGTTAAACCGTTTATTTCCCCTGCAGAAAGGCTTATTTGTGTGATCTGAGTGCCATTCATCTAATAATGTGCACTCAGATCCCAGCTATCTGGGGATATGTGAAATGTCTGTGTGTTATGTGTAAATGTGACTTTATGTATTTTAAAGTGTTTTGTGTCTTTTTGCAACCATGTGCTTAATGGAGTCTTGTGTCTATCCTGGGAGATAATTGAATTACTCTCCAGGATAGAAGACTCTGAAACTGGTTTGGGCCAGAAAGCCATGCTTCATTTAGTCACAAAGGACTTTCCCTTAACTTTTGAACCCCTGGTCTGATTCGTGCCATTTTTTAATATGTTGTTCCCCTGAATGGATTGATTATGAAAATGTATGTTTTATGTTTGTGACATGTATATTTTAGAAGTTATAAATATTGTGTAAAAACTGTATTCCTCTGCCGGTGATAATGAGATTACCCATTGTGTTCAGTAATCATATCACATGCAGAGGGGAGGATTTTGTGTGGGAGTGTCTGGGTGTATTGTACGGATTGATTGGTTGTTTTGTAACGCCCTGTGGGCTGTACTATGTTTGTGGATTGGGAATAAAAGAGACTGTATGTGACAGTACAGAGAGTTCCTGTTTTAACCCTCAAAGTGAAGTGTCGTCTCATTATTGGGGGAAGGATTTATTGTATGCTGTTCCAGTTTGACTGCTAGGAGAGTAAACCTATTCGTATGGTTCCTATTCAACTGTCTACAGCATTCATATGCTTGAGAGAAGGTATATGCTTCTCGGTTCGGTGATTGTGGTGTCTGCTGCAGTGCTTGGAGTCCTCAGGAAGCGCTAGGAGCATCCTTTCAACGGAGGTACCCAGTCGGGGTGCCAGGCGATCCGTTACATTGGTGGCAAGCGGTGGGATGGCGTCCTAGTGCGAGGTAAAGCAGCTCAGAGACACAGTTCGTGGAGTTACAAATTGAGGGCAACGCTAGCACACGTGCAGCGCCCCTGGGAGCAGAGGTATCCAGCGACTTGGAGCAGACAAGTATGGAAGGCTCTGGCAATGATTGGATGGCCGAGGTGAGGCAGCGAGTGGCCCAGTATGGGGATGATTTACCCATGGAGGTACGCCGGGTGATCTGGAACCAGGTCACGGCCGAGCGAAACACAAGGCTGGCCCGAGAATTCCGGCTGGCGAAAGAGAGAGAGTATGCTCAGCGGAAGGAGTGTTACAGCAGCCGAGTAGAGGCTGCATCCGAGGAGGCTAGCCGTCTCCCCCTGAGGCGGCCGCAGGAACCCGAAGTAGGGGTCCTCATAGACTGGTCCTGTGAGGAACCACAACAGGCAGGTGGAGATGGGACCAGCCCAGATCCCCAGCAGCAGCCGGAGTTGCCAGGTGCGGAAGCAGGTGGTCCTTACTCGCAAATGTTGAGGGACCTCACAGACTGGTCCTGGGAAGACCCACAGATGGCAGGTGGAGATGGGACGGCGGTCTCTCTACCGGCCCTACAGGGATGCTGGGCGGTCGGCCCAGATCTCCAGCGGCAGTATGTATCCCAGGGAGCTGAAGGTGAGTCCTTCCTCCCCAGCGGCAGTGTGTACCCCAGGGAGCTGAAGGTGCAGTCCTTCCTCCCCAGCGGCAGTGTGTACCCCAGGGAGCTGAAGGTGCAATCCTTCCTCCCCAGCGGCAGTGTGTATCCCAGGGAGCTGAAGGTGCAATCCTTCCTCCCCAGCGGCAGTGTGTAACCCAGGGAGCTGAAGGTGCCGTCCTTCCTCCCCAGCGGCAGTGTGTACCCCAGGGAGCTGAAGGTGCCGTCCTTCCTCCCCAGCGGCAGGGTATATCCCAGGGAGCTGAAGGTGCAGTCCTTCCTCCCCAGCAGCAGTGTGTACCCCAGGGAGCTGAAGGTGCCGTCCTTCCTCCCCAGCGGCAGAGTGTCCTGCAGGGAGCAGAGACCGTCAGTCTCGCACCCCAACCACAGGACAAAATAATGAAAGGGGAGACAGCTGGTCCCCCTCTTCACCAGCAGAGAGAGTGTCAGGGAGAGGAGCCTGATACCCCCTCTCCCCAGCGGCAGTTTACAGTTCAGAGAGAGGAGCTTGTTACACCCTCTCTCCAGCGGCAGCCTAACCCAGCAAGGGGAGATGTTACACCCCCCAACAGTGCAGATGGGACTGTAGTCTCTGCACTTACAGCACAAGGGGTAGGGACAGTTGGTCCTGTTCCCCAGCCACAGAGCGGTGTATCCAGAGGGGAGACAGTCGGTCTCTCCCTCCCACAACCAGGCTCCCACCAGGCTACTTCCGTGGTAGCACTGGCTTCAGGGCAGAGTACCGCTGGTCTCTGCCCACTCAGCAACCCACCAAGGCAGCCTAACCGTTGCCCACACAGTCGTGGTGAGGCACCTGGACATGGACAAAGTTCTCCTCTACACCATTGTTTTCTGTTTCTCATCATCAGATTTTCAGTCATTTAGTCAGAAAAAGAATACAAAGCCGCCATTGACAGAAGGAACGCATGACAGAATGGCTCGTAGACTGAATTCATTCAGTCATTCCGACAAACAGCCAGTGACTGCTCGCTGTTTAGCAGACATGCCCCCACTCGCGACATGATGAACAGGTGCATAAGGGAGGTATAAATAGTCCACTCTATATAATAAGTATCTCCTGACCATTGAGCCCCCCAATTATTTCATTATTGTAAAGTCCATCACCTGATGCCCACACGTAGGAGCATGGGAGAGGGGACAACTTGCCCGTCTCTACTTGATTTTACTTATTTTTAATATTAGCTCCACTGTTCTGTAAATTGGTGACATGGAAGTTGTGTTACTAGTTGCAACTGGTTTTGTTTTTAAATTTTTTTTTTTATTACAGCTGCTTGCTATTTAGCAGACTTTCTTTTTTTTAAATTTTCTGGTGGCCGGGCTAGCTAGGAAGTGCTCACAAAGGTTATTAACTATTCGCCTGCTGGAGGCTAGTGAGCCATAGAGATGAATGGATTTCTGAAATTCGACGATCAACGAAAATTTTCACTGAATTTTGGCCGAAAGGAATAGACGTGTGACAGAAAGTCAATGAATGTCAAATCTTTATTATTCTTACTACCTGCAATACCTTTTTTTTGTATCATGAATCTCCTTTTCCTATTTATAATAAGATGCCCTTTATAAAGACTATTAATGAACAAGTCTCCCAGGGTCTGTGTTCATTGGCCCGGTATGCATTTAATTGTGGAACTAACGCACCCAGGTCCGCAAGCTCAGGGAGCCCACCAGGTGGCCTATGCACTTAGCACCACCCAATGACCATATCTGATCAGAGGTCCAGCCAGACACTGCATCCCATTAACAGCGCACCCATCAATGGGTGTACTTGTGTGTCTTTTTGTATCTTTGTGTGTATGTGTGTGTATTTCAGTGTGCATGTGCTAGGCTGTGTATGTGCATATATGCATGCACCCCAGCATTCAAGTGCCAACTCTACATACCTAGAAATTCAAACACAAACACTACACACAAGTACACCACTGCTTTCAAATATTAACAGTAAATGCAAACACACAACTACATTCAAATGCCAACACTACACACAAATACATACATATACACACACACACACACACACTCCCTCCCTCCATGCTTTCAGTCAAACATTGCTCACAAATACATACATATATTCACACACAAACACACACACACACACACACACACACAAACATGCTTACATTCAAACACGGCTCACAAATACAGCTCTGCAAATATGGGCACATGGTAGGTCCCCAGCTGGTAAAGCATTGTGGGTGTTGTACGACAGATCTACTTTTTGGCCATACTTGCGCTAGAGGGGGCCCAAAAGAAATTGTAGCAACAGGACCCTCTCTACATTACTTCCACCACTGTATTATATTTCTTTAAATTTAGAGGATATATGTTTTTTTGTTCTGTGTAATTTATTCTGTATTTTTTTTGGGTGCGTCTGGTGACAGTCATGGACATTCCCTGTGTCTTCATTTCCTGAATTGTGCAATGAGAAACAGCGAACATTAACTGACCTCTTCATGTTATTTTCAGAACAGAAAACAAAGAGAGAAAAGGGAAACCGACTGACCCAGTCCTGACCCACTACATGGAACGCACTGTATCCGGTCATAGCTCTATTGCAGTTCTCACAACAGACTGCACTTCGCCAATAACCTGTAACAGCCACTATATCACACCAATGCAACAGCTGGCACTGCCTCCTTTAATTCACTAAAACCAAACCATATATGAGTTACAGCAGGTTCTGCTCCGTCCGTAAACTGCAGCTGCCTGTCCTATCATCCTCAGATATAAAAAAAAAAAAAACCCTCCAGCTGTCTCGTCACTCTCTGCTACATCACCAACTGGAAGTTATCATTGCACTGTCTGTATTTCACTAACCTATGGCTGTCACATTAGACTGTGCTATTCCACTAACCTATGGCTGTCACATCCCACTCTGCTATTCTACTAACCTATGGCTGTCACATTAGACTGTGCTATTCCACTAACCTATGGCTGTCACATCCCACTCTACTATTCCGCTAACCTATGGCTGTCACATTAGTCTGTGCTAATTTACTAACCTATAGCTGTCACATTAGACTGTGCTATTCCACTAACACATGACTGTCACATTAGACTGTGCTATTCTACTAACATATAGCTGTCACATCTGATTCTACTATTCCGCTAACCTAGGCTATAACTGTCACATTAGTCTGTGCTATTTTACTAACCTATGGCTGTCACATTAGTCTGTGCTATTTTACTAACCTATGGCTGTCACATTAGACTGTGCTATTTTACTAACCTATGGCTGTCACATTAGTCTCTGCTATTTTACTAACCTATGGCTGTCACATTAGTCTCTGCTATCTAAAATCTAAAATCTCTATCTATGTTGCATCTTCCCAGTGTGTTTGGTACCATCACAGCTGCAAGAAGGCGAGGAGCATCCTGTGAGCACAGCTTTCTCAGGCATACCCAGTAACTCCCGCTAATCCTTTGGATCTCAGCAGGATGCAACATGTGACCAATTTCGGGTAATCTGGTTGCAAAACTTTGCAGAGTGCCAGACTGCAGATGTGCCTATAAACAGGTGTTGCAGTAGCAGGGGAAAGTTGTCAGAATGGTCCAGCATTACCTGTGCTGGCAGGAGAACCCTCAACAGATCCCTCTACATGCCAGTTCATGCTCTCTGTCCTGCACATAGTCTGCTCTCTTCTGTACCCACTTCTGGGTAAGGAAGATTGGCAGGTATGACTGGATTTAGTGAATATGTCTTTCGGAAATCTTCTGCAATATGTAGTCCCCTTCGAATACAATATAGGGCTCGTGAACAGGTCATCAAGTTCATACAAAAATAAAATATTGACTTAACTTTTCAGAATATTAAAATTGAATCCCTTCTTATAAGCCACTCACTCACAAGTGATAACTATAGAGGATTGTGTAGCACTTCTAGGAATGCAAGTCGTGTTGGAGCAGGCCATGCACATTGCACCCAAATAATGGAAAGGAATTGATCAACCAAGAAATAACCTCTTGCCAAAATAAACAATCAAATCATGTAGCAAGAGCTGTAGCTACACAGGTGTGAGGTACAAGTTTAGTGTAACTTGTACATACTTGAGCAGGAGGTATGACGCTTAAAAAAAAAAAAAAAAGCTAGTTCCAGAGCCCTTGGAGAATTAAGGGCTTCTTGTAGAATTCTATTGTATCATTTTGGCAACAAAAGGGTTAAACAAAAGCAGAACTGTGAATGGTCTAATCTCCCTGTCCTGCTTTCATTAGCTGAATGGTGCCCTAATTTGTTAGGAAATAATTCAGGAATTTCCAAGATGTATTTGGATTACGTAAGATTAGCTTGCTGACAGTGACAAATACACTCTGTCATTTCAGCCTTTGTAGACTAACTCTCCCATGATGCAGAGCCAACTTGACATATGCACAGTCATTATTCGGCATGTGCCCTGTGCTCTAATAGATTCCATATTGAAAATTCGGCTTTTTACTCCCTGCTTTTGAATGCTGCTCCGGAGGCTCTCCCCAGGTTTGTCTCATTGGAAGGACACAGTCCTCACTAGGGCCAGAATGGGGAAAAATTTGGGCTCTGGAATTTTTTTTAATCACAGCAGCCCACTGGGAAGGGAGCGGGAACAGTGGGAGGGGTTGTTGGGTCCTCGCCAATGACAAGCACACCCTTCCTCAAAGTGAGCAAGATGGTTCCAGGGTAGCCCGTACACAGAGCTCTTGCATGAGAGAAAGGCCCTGTATTTATTCTGCACAACACAAACAAATGTAATGACTTGCTTTTTCTGCATTTGCCTGTGACTTGTCTATGGTGTCTCCATAAATGGGACACTAAGGATAAAAGGGCCAGGAAAGTGTATTGTGCATTTGGGATTGTAAACCGGTGGTATTGAGTGACTCTAGCCTGCAACTTCTCCGTCTGCAGGTTGAGTTCACTCCTTTTGTGAGCTTCTACACTGTTTCAGAGGTTTGTAACTGCACCGCTTGCTGGACGAATATTCACCTCCCAGGTCCTCCTTCCCTCTCCCCTCATTGTCCGCAGTAAAGTGCCAGTGGGCCTGTGAGGTAGATCTTTGATCTCCCCACCAGCCTATTAAAACACACAGGAAGGCCAGCGCATGCATAGAACCAGCTCTGCATGGGCCGGCAGCGGAAATCCTTTGATCTCCAATGTCGACTTTGGCCCATGGCCATCATTTGCCCAGTTTGTCTAATGGCCATTTTGGGCCTGGTCCCCAATGAGAAACAATGGGAGAAAATTTATATTTTACACACCATAGCTCCTTAGCTTCAAGTATCAGGAGCTTGGTTATAAGTTGCTCACTAATGGGTGCAGAACCCCTGAAGCTTTGTTTCTGATCTTTGACAGGGTTTCAGAGGTGCTTGGAATCTGTACCAGCCTGCACATCTGGTGGTCTTGCATTGACATAACACCATATTGGAAAATGATCCATTCTAATATTATCGAGATTGTTTACTCTTTTCAGCTTTTACCAAAGCTTCTACATTATCCTATGATTCCTCTGTAGAAATAGAAGTCCCTAGCTAAGCACTTACTGACTGCAGCAAAGTCACTGATCATCACGACTATGGGAAAAAACGCTGGCTCCTACTCTCCAGCAATGGATTGCAAGGATTGAGAAATTGTATGCGATGGAATTCAATGGAAAGAAGGGGGAACCAAGTTAAATGTAATCTTAATTACAAATTAACGTAATCTTAAATAATTTGCCTTTTTTCTCCTCTCTCTCCCTCCCTCGCGTCCCTGCCCCCCAACCGGCTTTCTTTCCTCTAATCCCACAATCCTTACCGATACCTTGTACTTGTTGTAGGTGTCACCGATCGCCAACAGCAGACACAAAGTTAGCATACTCATGCTATAACTATCTTGCTGATTGATTAATACAAAATTTTTGCAATAGTGGTCCCACGCTGGTCGATTACATTATTTTGATGCTTCTGTTTCCCATATATTTGTTGTTCATACTCTAAAATTTAAAGTAATTTAGGTGACTATAGTGTTCCTTTAAAACTAAAATCTCAAAATAATTAAAAATAGATTATTTCCAACATAGTTATTCAGGTCTAAAATATGATTAGTCATGAGCCATGAACTGTTTAATAAATATAAAGTATGTATGTTTCAAAGTAGGAAGAACATATTTCTGTATGAGCAATACAGTTGCTAATATGTGCCTCATGGGAACGTAAGTCCTACAAAGCCTGGAGTGCCAACAGGCAGTACAGTAATTAAGAATCTCCTGAAGAAGCCGGATGATTGGCGAAACGCATTGTGCCCTGTTGAAAAGAACCCGGAGATTAGGTATAAGGAGTCTTTGAAGCACTTTTCTTGAACGTTTTATGCACTTTTTACATTTGCACTTTAATTCTGGGCTGTGAATAGTGTGCTGTGAAGGAAAAGTTGTCATTTGGAGCATCTTATACTACACTTTACTTTAATTTAATCTGCACTTTAGCACTTGCACTTTGGTTTTGTGTATCATGAATTCTGTGCTGTGAAAAGTAAGCTACTAGCCATAAGGGTTTAAAGCCTAGCCAGGCTTCATATTGCTAATTGCACACTTGTGTTTTATGTCAATTTTCCATATATTTATTTTAACTTTTATTTTCAATAAATTGTACATCATTTTTTTTCTAATTGTTTTTTCTGTTTTCTCTCTAATTTGAGATATTCCATACGAAGTTGATAAATATTAGTGACTGTGGCGCCCTGTTATTTTGTAAAGATAGATTCTATCTTTACATTGTGTTTTCATGTTTATAAAAGGTTAGTAGTGACCTTTAGACAGAGGCTTCCCTGCACTTAACCATCGTCACTCACTCCACCCATCCACTTTAAGTTGTTTTTTAGTACTGTAATTAATACTCAAGGGGATAATTCTTTGGTTGCTATGCAAGGAATATATCTTTATTCATGGTGAGTCTTAGAACACGGACCCTATAGTATTGGCCTACTTAATGAGCATCATGGGATATGTTGTTTGATTATCTTGTTCGGTGTACGAAAAGGCAAGTAACTTCTGAGCTTTTGTTTCTCATGATATGCCGTCCTGTGATAGATTGAAACTTTGCATGGGGCCTTCGTTCATGAATCTATGGAGCATTCTTCTTGGCCCACACCCACATTGATTCACCTAGCTAAAATGGATATTATTACAAATGATGGTGGCCTTCACTGTTGACCAGTATGGCACTCGTGCACTGGGTAACGAGGTATTTTGGCAATTTAATCAGAACTGTATATACACCTGGAAGATCTTCAGTTGAGCCTGAGTTCTGGAGCTCATATTGGAGTTCCACCAGTAGAATTCACCAACTCTTCACAGACTTAAAGGGACACTATGGTCACCAAAACAACTTTAGCTTAAGGAGCAGTTTTAGTGTATAGATCATGATCCTGCAGTCTCATGATCCTGCAGTCTCACTGCTCTGCAATTTAGGAGTTGAGTCCCTTTTGTTTCTGTCTATGCAGCCCTAATCACACCTCCACTGGCTGTGACTCACACACCATGCATGAAAAAAAAAATGGTTTTACTTTAAATTAGATGTAACTTACTTTAAAAGTTCTTATTGCCTGCTCTCGAAAGTGAACTTTAATCATACACAGAATGCTTCTGTGGGGTCTAGCAAACTATCAACAGTGCAGGGGATAACACATTTTAAATTAAATAGAATTTGCAATGAAGGAAGTGTAAACATTAACTGACTCTTTACAGGAAGTGTTTAGGAAGGCTGTGCAAGTCACATGCAGGGAGGTGTGAATAGGGTGCATAAATAAAGTGATTTAACTCCTAAATGGCAGAGAATTGAGAAGTGACACTGCAGGGAAATTATCTATACACCAAAACTGCTTTAATAAGCTAAAGTTGTTTTAGTGACTATAGTGTCCGTTTAAATAATAAACTCAGCAGTATCCATGATGCAGAATTCGGATGAGGAGCAGAAAGTTGTGTCTGATATCTGTTAATCAAATAACAGCTATGCATTTTAACTCAAATGAACTCACCAACTATTCCCTTAATGTGCAACAAAACAAGAAAAAGTTCCACAAAAACTGATGGCTATTTTTTGGGAAATAAATGACACGCAGTTAAATGTTTTTTGGCAGCTGATGAAACGGCTTACACAGACAGTAGCTGATATAAATTGCAGGCATCTGCATCCCCATCTGTTTACAAAGAGAATCCGGAAAAGTGAAAAATCATTAAAACGTTTAGTAACTGCTTCTCCGTAACAAGGTAAAATCTGTAATTTTTTTTCTGTTGGGGAAAAAAACAAAACACGTCAATATACCCAAAAAAGGTTATTAAGACAACAAAGTGAACAGATAAAAGGTTCAATAGTAGTAAAAGACCTGGGAATGAGAGAAGTCCTGAGTATATCTGTCATTAGGACTGCTGTGAATGGCTAGTACAGTAAATGGGAATGAACAAGGATGGATTGTGGATAAGAAATATAAGATAGGCAGAGACTACTACAGTGTGCCTCTGGAATGTGTGTAAAGTTTTATAGAAGGAGTACGTGTATAACAAGAGTATACAAGGTGTATCAAGTGTAGTGTTCAGTTTGAAAGCCGTGTAGAACAAGGGACAGAAGTAGTGTGTGGATTCAGCTCTAAAGCCGTATAGAATTCAGCGGGGAAGGTGTGTAGAATTCAAAAAGTCAGCACTTGGAACTCTGCGTAGAATTCAGGAGGGTATCTGTGTAGATCAGTGGTGCCCAAAAGGTAGATCCCCAGATGTTGTAAAAATACAAAAATCATGATACTTTGCATTCCTTTAGAATGCTTTAGAATGACAAAGCATCATGGACGCTTTAGTTCCACAACATCTGGGGATCTACCTTTTGAGCATCCGTGGTGTAGATCATAGGACAGATGGAATGTGGAACTCGTATCATTCAAGATTTAAAGAACAGAGCAGGGAATGGTAGAACATAGAAGCATAGTTCATTTGCAGAGTTCAGATTGAAATATACACAGGACTCAGCAGGAAACTCAAGTAAGACATAGTAAGGTATGTGCCTGCAGTTCAGGACTGAAGCCTGTACAGCAAGAACAGCATTTACATTACAGGGATAAGCTGCCAAATATGTCTTGAGAAAAGGTATGTCGATATTAGGAAGCTGCAAATGTAGGAATAATGGTGAGCAGTCATACAGAAGTCTTAAAAAATAAATCAAAGGAAAGCTTTGTAGGACGTACTGTTAAATTGTGTAGGAAGAGACGGTGAAAATTGTTCAGTATAGCATTGGCTGTCTACATACCACTGGAGCATTTACTAAAGATCAGTTTAAATGAAACATTTTTATTAATATTTTACATATTTAAAACCTGTGCGGGTTCATCGATCTAAATAAGCTACAACATATATTACGGAACAATATCTTCTGATGACATTGTGTATCTTTTCTTTCACGGGATGCTGTTTCCTGGTGGCTTGTCTCCTATCTGCAGGGCGGGCCAGTGTTCTGCAGGGTAACACATGTTTAGATGTCCTAAGGGCTGGTGACACGGGTCCGAGGAGTTGTATCCGTTGACACTCCCCTCTGATGAGCCAGAACTAGCGCCTGGAAGACAGATAAACAAACAAAAGGAGGATTAAGAAATGTTTTTAAAAATATTAAATGTTTGAGAAGTAATGACAGATTATAGAGGAAGGGAAAGGAGAGAGTGAAAATGTGAGTTGCACAATGTGATTATATTATATATTAAAACTTTAACAAATGACATCACTATCCAGTTCAGGACAAGCACAATCAATGCAAGTATAGAAACATAGAATGTGACGGTAGATAAGAACCATTGGGCCCATCTAGTCTGCCCAATTTTCTAAATACTTTCATTACTCTCTGGCCTTATCTTATAGTTAGGATAGCCTTATGCCTATCCCACGCATGCTTTAACTCCCTCACTGTGTTATTGAAAATGGGAAATAGAACCATTGTATTCTTCTCTCTGTATGCCTTCTATATGACTGACAGGTGCAAAGGTCAGAGTTTATACAGTTATTGAAAGAGAGCTAAGGTGGAGGCGCACAGTTACAGGCAGGGCCGGACTGGGAAGATAATTCGGCCCGGGCATTTTTTAATTACAGCGGCCCACTACAAAGGGGGCAGGGCCAGATAAGGTGTGTTTTGTCATCACCAAT